GGCCGGGGCGGGCACGCCAGCCGCCTGCCACTTGCCTCCTGGCCTGGCCTCAGCTGTTCATGCAGCTCTCCTTGCTGGTAGCAACCCCAGAGCCTGTGCCCCACCCATCATGCTTCTCACCCCACCCCACCCCTCCCCACGCTTGCCTCCCCTGCCCCTGCTGCCCCTCCCTCCTCCCCCCAGGTCTCCGCCCTGCGCCAGCTGGTGGAGCCGTTCAGCCTGCGGCGGCCGCGGTCGCTGCTGGGCGGCGCGGTGCTGCCGCGGGGCGAGGTGCGGGTGCCGGTGGGGCTGACGGCGGCAGCGGCGACGGCGTACCGCACCGTACTGGCGCGCTCCTACGAGCTGCTGTCCGACCCCAAGCCCAGCAGGCACAGCGGCTACCGCGCAGCCCAGCTGCGCAACGTCGCCACCGAGCTGCGAAACGTGTGCTGCCACCCCGCGCTCAGCGAGTGGGCGGAGCGGTCGGGGGGAGCCGCCGGCGCCGCCGGCGCCGCCGAGCAGCCCGCCGCGGCGGCGGCGGCCGGCGGGGCGGAGGCGGCGGCGGCGGCGGGGGCGTCCCCGCCGCCCGGTGGCGGCGAGGGCGGCGAGGGAGAGGGCGCGCCGCGGCTTGGCACCGAGCGGCTGGTGCGGGGCAGCGCCAAGCTGGCGCTGCTGGACTGCATGCTGCGCCAGCTGCACGCCGCGGGCAAGCGGGTGATGGTGCTGGCGCAGAGCCCCAAGGCGCTGGATGCGGTGGAGCAGCTGGCCAGGGAGCGGTACGGCGGTATATCTGGCGGTACATCCGGCGGTACCGCGGGCCAACAGCCGCCCTGCTACGAGCGCGTCGACTCCACCACCAAGACCGCCGAGCGGCAGCAGGCGGTGCAGGTGGGGTGGCAGCTAGGCAGGGGTGGGTGGTTCTGGGAGAGGACTCCCACGCCACGAGGGAGCCCTGGCATGGGAGGGGCAGCTGGGAAGCATCTACTCGTTGCGCCGCACACCCTCACCTCGCCGCCACCTGCGCCCCTCCCCGCCTGCAGCGCTTCAACGCGGCGGCGGGCGCGGGCGGCGCCCAGCGCTGGCTCTTCCTGCAGCACACGCGGTCGTGCGGCGTGGGCACCGACCTGCCCGGCATCGACGCCGCCATCTTCCTCGACTCGGACTGGTCGGCTCGCAAGGACGCGCAGGTGGGTGGGAGTGTGGGTGTGTGCGTGTGCGTGGTGTGTGTGTGCATGTGCGTGTGTGCGCGCTTGTGCGTGAGTGGGTGGTTGGAACAGAGTCGCCGGCATCGCTGCTGGGGCCGCCGCGCCGCCGGTCCTGCCAACTGCCGCCGCCCCACCCCCGCCCCACCCCCGCCCTACCTGATCCCCGCCCTCCGCCGCAGGCGCTGTCGCACGCGCTGCGCGTGGGCTCCCCCGATCGGCTGCGCGTGTACCGCCTGTACTGTCGGCGCACCTGTGAGGAGCGGCTGCTGCAGCTGTCGGACCGCATGCGCGGCCTGGATGCGCTGTGCCAGCAGAGCCACGGCCGGTCATACTCCTCTGGGGCCAAGGTGTTTGAGGATGTGCTCCACTTTGGGGCCGCCCAGATACTGCAGCAGGCCAAGCAGCAGCAGCAGCAGCAGCAGCCCGCGGCGGCGGGCGGACGCGGGGACACCGAGATGGGGGAGGCGCCGCCTGCTGGCGCGGCAGCAGCCGCCCCGGAAGCCGGCGGGTACAGCGAGGACCAGGTGCGGCAGCTGCTGGAAGCCGACCCCGCGCAGCTGCTGGCGGCGGCCGCGGGCGGCGAGGCCGCCGCCGACGCGCAGCAGCAGCAGCAGCAGCAGCCCGCCAGCTGTGCCGTCGGCCCGGCCGGCAGCGGGCTGGAGGCCGCCACGGTGGTCGACCTCAGCGGCGTGCGGTCTGAGCTGGATGATGGCGGGGAAGTGGATGAGGGGGAAGGCGAGGAGCCAGATGCCGAGGACG